ATAGCTTTACAACCTTTGTCCTATCGTCGACTGTAAAAGTTGATGCCTTTTTTAGAGAACCATCACAATTTGCCCGGGTTGGCTTGGTCTTGTATTGTCTTATTTTCCCATAGCTAATCAATTTCTTGTCATGCCGCTTATTTATCAGATCCCGGACCCTCTGTAACTTCTAGTCGGTCATGCCCTGGAGTTTTTGAAAATCATCCAAAGCGAGAACCCTTCCTTAATCTAGACTTGATATCTATGAACTTACGTCTCTCTGTCTCGTAACTTTCCTCTAATTTCTGCATGGAAGTGTGATAAAGAATTTCATTCACTGTGTCCTAATGACACTTTCTAATTAGATTGCAGTATTACCAAATAGCGAAAACGAGAAGAAATCACTTCTATGATGAAGTAAATTTAATTTATTCTTAAATTTTGCCATCATCCTTGCACGTATAATAATTATATATGATATATATTCACATTTTTATTAATAGCTTTATATAATGCAATAATTTTACTCTTTATCCCACAGTATAAAATATTCAATTAAGACATGGTTTCACTTGTATTTAAACTTATTTTACAGAATTTTTCATCCAATTATTTGCCAGCATAAGTTAACTTGACCTAATATGTCATAAATATGGATTTTCCAACATAAAATTCGCAACTTACAGGGAACGTCGCCGCCTTTGGTACCTCAGCCTGTCAAACTCCTGGAAAATCTGTTGAAAATTTGGCTGAAGAATTAATTTCTGCTGTTCATACAATTGCGAATACCTCAAAAGTTTTAGGTGGCCCCATTGGACAATCCGTGCTGGTGGGCACTGGCGCATGTGCCACAGGAAGTAGTGGAGGTTTGGGCGTCTGCCCTGGTAACTCTATTTGTGGAGGTGTTACCAATGGGCTTTACAGTAATACTGGTGTTGTTAATATGGCGAGTGGAGGCGCAGGACATAGTGTAACCAATGCAGTGCTGATGGACATGCGGAATCTGGCTGTTCCACCAAAGATGGCATCGGAGATAATTAAGTTGATTGCTCTCGTGCTACTCGCATTGGGTGTAAGTCATACTACAATATTACTTTCATATTTCTTTATTTCTCAAAGTTAAAAAAATTTGGTCGTGGACCTAAGCAAATAAGTTGAACTAACAGGCAGAGCTATTCTTAAAAATATATCAGTTTACACGATAGATTGGAATTTCTCCAAAAAATTATCAATAGCTATTTTGCAAACTATCCTATAAAAAAAGGCTGCCATTAGCTACCCATTCAATATTTTAATATATTAATGGAAAATGAAAATATTGACTTTTAATCATAGTGCGTTTCAAGACTATCAGCAAATCTAGAATAATATTGGCTTAGGTTAATTCAGAATTTCAAGAAGTTATGACAGCACTTTAAGAATTTTTCAAATAACTTTTCAAGGGCAAACATCTTAAAATCTTGGTGGCGTACCTTTCGTTCTGTTTGACGAGGTGAGTAGAATGAATTCGTAAGTTGGTCTTACTTGAAGCGAAAAAGGGCTTGTCTCGGAGCCATGACTATAGATTTGTGTAAATAGGTCCTCGGCGCACCGCCCTGCCCCGATTAATCCTTCCTGAGCTTTCGTACTTCGTGTGACAGACATCGTCAAAGCTTTGTGATAATTCACCAAAACACGAAAACAAGTAAGATGGCCGGCTGCCGACCGACCTACTTCTTATAGCCTAGCTCTGTCTACTTATTGAGACATCTCAAGATTTGGTTGGACATCTTGTGCTTTCCTTAAATATTTGCTGAAATGTAAATTTAAAAAGGGTAGAAGTGGGTTGATCTCGTTGTTACAACTTGCTCCTATTGTCAGGGCTACTTAGTACAACTCACCTTATCCGAACTCCTCTGCCATAGTAGTTATCATAATTCCAAGCATCAAACAGTAGACTTGGTACATTTTCAGACGTTTCGCCGGCATCATCAGTAAGTTCTGCCATTCTCCGCACCAAGCTACGAATTTATCAAAGAGATAAGTCAAGTCAATCCCTCGACCAATGTTCTGCCGAAAACGGTTACACTATCACTCCTCTTTCTGTCCTGGCCTATCTTTCTACTTTTTACCCTCTTATCCCACTCCTGCCCTATCACAACTTCTCACTTCTTTACATTCCAGTCATCAAAATGTGCTTAATCAGTTATCGCTAACTCTGCCTTCCTCCAATCTCCTGTTCGTTAGATTTTTCTCCCCAAGGATGTCGATGGTCTTTTCTAATCTTCCGCTTCCTTGTGTTTACCCTGTATGAAGCCCTTATTTCTGTTGCCTTCCAATTGATCTCGTGTCTAGTCTGTGCGATGTGTTTCACTAATTCTGATATTTGGGTACCCATTTTCCTGCCTTAGATGTCCCTTGAAAACGAGGTCAACCCACTTCTATAAATCGAAATGAGACTGCGACCATACCGGGGGCCATATAATCTTGGTCTTCATATCTTCGATAAAAAAGGTAGGCTTGCAGCCGGCGACCTACGCTTTCTACGTAT